ATTGAGCGTATGCCCCTGTTGCAGTGCGTTGCTCCCCTTCTTTTAACCATCTCGCGGTCTCATCTCTCTCCTCTTCCATCCTGTGTTTTTCTCGTTCCTCCTGCATCGCCTTCCACCCGTCAGTGATTCACTCATCGTCTATACTTCCTTCTTTTCCTACCCGATTTGTCTCCCCCCATCGTGGGGTGCTAGACCGAAACCCGATTTGGTTCGTCCTCATCGGTGATAAGACATGTACGGTGAGATGCCTTCACTGAAACGGTTAGCTAACTGAAGTGCATCTTCGCACGGCATCAGTAATACGGAGGCTTAGAGGGGCCATCAATTACCATTCGTTTGCCTGTCACGGAAGCTTCGATAATGGATGAGGTACTTTGACGTTCCATCTCGGTTGTCGAACCCCTTACGGCTGTCGTGTCCTACTTTCGTTTCGCCACATCTTTAAGGGATACCATTCTTTATTTCTGCAGCTGGGGACAAGCGACTTGATACTGTCCGTTGAGCGTCCCATAATTCCGCAGCTAACTTGAATTTGGTTTGCGTTTTGCTGAGTGTACTGCATGCTGGACTCCGTGTTGGTTCATAGCCAGGTAAACGTTTATTTCATGATCGTTGTAAGCCCCCGTGACATAGTTTATGACAGCCCTGGGCCTGCATATTATAGTTCAGGTGATAATCAAGCGCCCGTCTCTTTTGCTAAGGCGTTCGTTGGCTCGCTAATCTTGGTCTACGCGCCCCGCTATTGATACGTTCGAGTGGACAACGCGGGGAAGTCGCTAACATGGTGATCGCGTGCCTTTGCTCTGTGTGGTCTCGCTCCATCGAAGACGGATACATCTGCTGTCTCTAAACCTGGAGAGTACACCTTTAATGATTCAGGCAGCACATCCAAGGTGTCAACCACATCATGTAATTACAGACGTAGCAGATGCTGTCAACTTGATGGTTTTAATAAATAAATGAACACTGATCTTCTCAAAGGTATAAGAATGTGATCTTCTCTTGGTTTTATTATTCCCAATGTAAAGAGTCTCCTTCATGATTTCTGAGAACGATCATTTTGGCCATCCCTTCCTCTTCTTTATGTTAAAATGAAAATATCTTTGCTAATTATACCTAAGTTCTCAATTAAACCCTGCTTGATTTTTTCCTTCTGAAATGAAAGTGCTTTATGCTATCCTTCCACCCCAAGAACCAGCAATGACATACATTTTAAGTGTCTTACAAGCGTTAAGTCACAACGGGTGAAACCAAGCCTTTGTGATTTCGTTTACATCGTGCAGTTGACGAAATTCGAAGCCTAGTCTGACAAAGGGCTACAGCTACGTCTAGTTTCATTGCGTCCCCGCGTATTTCCAACGGAGCAAAGACCTGGTCCAAGCTCCGGACAACGGATTCGGATGTGGCCTATAAAACTGTCCTGCAGTCAAAATCTGCTGAACAAGTTAAAGTGCTAAACAAAAACACGCCGAGGACCACTTGCAAACAATATACAACGCATGGCACAAGGACTGGTGGCCTGATTTGCTAAGCCAGTATTTTCTGTATTTAGCTAGCCTAATTTCTTCGCAACCGCTCTCCTCTACCAAAATTGGTTTGCGTTTAGTATCCAAACGCGGTGGACTGTACCTATATCCAATCCCGTAATGACGATGGTGATTTAATAACAGATGCCCCGTGATCTCATCCTACCGAGCCATACAGCGTGGAAGAATTGATAATGAAAACAAAATCTTGATCGCGTAGGGGACATTCGGACTTCATTGAGGCTCGGCGGGTATTTAGGACGTGTCCGAAACGGCCTTCCAGAGCTACGGCTAGGTCTATTGTCTACGCATCTCCACACATTTCCAATGGAGGGAAGACCTAGACCTAGCTCTAGACAACAGATTCGGATGCAACCTTAGTGATCAATTCAAACAAACGTTGCTGACCATGTCACGGGACCGTGGAGGAAATTGTGCGCAGCTACATGCATACGTGGGATATTTGATTCGGTTCATGAAGATCATGCACGTGTTCATCTTACAAAAGTTTTATTTTTTTAACAAAAGCAGGACCCAATTTTACCATTATGAGATGTCTACCGTTGTCTGTGTTTATTCTCTGAAATGAAAGGTAATTTGGGCTTCTGCTGCGCGGATAATGACACCGAGGACTGGGTTGAATTCCACGCCGAATTCTTATAAACGGAGAGTCATTGCTACCTGCAGCCAGCAGCATTTACAGTTAGATGGTTGGAAATTCACTGATTCTGTTGGAACATTGACTATTTTGTAACACTTCATATCGATACGTTTGCACATTTTATTTTACATCCTATTCTTTACGCCAATCTCATCCTATTAGCCCTAAACCGAGCTTAATTCAGCTATGCAGCGTGCCCCCCAAAATCCCCACTACCCAAACATTATATTCATTTTATCCCAAAGTGCATTGCCAGAAATCACTGATTTGGTATCAATAACTTGAAGCTTAGATATCAAATTGTATCGGAACTTTCGTGTTAAACGTCGCGTTGCAGAGATGTTTCAAATCACGTAACTCGGCATATATTTGGTTCCGTTTAGTAGAAGCTTTAACAGTCAATCTTACATATGTGTGCATCGGATTTGAATGAAATCATCAGTTTTTAAACAATTACATTCTAAGCTTTATTTGAAACAAACTTCAACAATTTCAGGCATTCATATTAGGAGAAGATTAAAATAATGTTTCTCTGGTTGCGTTTTATGGGGACATGGGGTGTAAAAACGACACCCAGAAACGCCCGGAATGAACCAAAGCTCACAAAATACCAACCTCCTTCCGAGTAGGCAATGCGACATATTGAAATTCACAAACGCGTCAACATATACCAGTAATGCTCCCATTACTAGCGCTTCATCAACACACAAAAACGCTTTCAAATTATCGCCGTAATCTCTTGACCTTCAGTGGATTCAATAGCTGTGGTAATATAACCTTAGGTGTCCACCACCCTCTATGTCCACCGTTCCGTAAGTGCATGCGGAGTGGGATGTTGGTGGTATGGTGGCCTGCTCACCTGATATGTCATCTTAGTTTGTGTTACGATCCAAACCATTTGTAAACTGTTTTGATCCCTGAAACTTGCAGACCCCATACCGGCCCCTCATTTCGATTAGTATTATACCAGAGTGATTGGCTAAAGGTCCGAATTTATTCGGTGTTGCGATGAACGTTGAAATGATTTGGAAGTTAGCATCTATCCTTTGATGTGATTGGTTTTTTTTATTGACTTTCAGTTCTGTGACTTGTCGCGAAATTCCGCCCGGGGTATATGTCAGTTTTTGAAAGGCTAATTCAAGTTGTCATATTCGACATCCTTTCAAATTTTGATGGAATGTTTACATTAAATCACTTTTCACAGACACGTACACTGATTTGAAATGCATTAAACATTATCAGAGCTAAATACCAACCAATTGCTTCTGTCACATTAAATTGAGCATGAGAGTAAAAAAGAATTGCATTTTTATACGCTCGGTTTTTTTTACTGTTTGGCATCAGTGTAAAGATTAACTTTCTGACTTATTTATTACATTTTACAAGTGTGTGTACATAAAGCCAACTGAGTGATATATAAGCCAGTATCAGTTATGTTGACAGGCCCGTTAATATTCGCCTTGTGCTTCATGCATTCATCTTTTAACGGCGTAAGTGATACATCCACTGCCTTAAACGGTGCATAATGGAAAAAATTGCAGCCTGTCATGTTTTCAAGCAAGGGTTTTGTAAAGGTCAGAGTGAGTCTTGTCAATTCGCAGCAATAAATTATAGCAGTGGTACTCAGGTCTGATGAAATTCCTTATCAACTCTAACTGTTCTGAATAAATCAACGCGCTTTTTTTTCGAGTGACGTCTCAAAACTCCTTTACTAGTTTACTTCATTTCAAGGCTTTTGATAATTACGCCGCTCCACTCTGGACACAGGATGATTGTTTCAAAACAACCAGTTAAATTAATAAATTTTTGTAATAACCGATCCTTCAGATAGTTTCACACGTGTATTACATTTATAGGCCTACATGTATCTTAATAGATAAGCAGGCAAGGATCGGGGTGGTGGTTGGGGGTCGAACCCCCTCGCTGCTTTGAGACCCCCCAAAAAAGATTTTAAAAGGGGGGAAATAATGAAAAATATCTAAGGTAAGAACACCAATGCTACTCTAGACAATGTAAGTCATGTACATGTATAATGTTTCATCATCGTCTCTGCTTGTCTGCAAATACATGTATAAGATATTAAACAAAAAAATCTCCGGCCTGACGCCCCGGGAAAAAATCCTGGACCCGCCCCTGAGAAGGTACGCGTATGCCTTCACAATAACAACCTGATAAATAGCCCACATTGTACAAACGCGTTGCTCCTTGTGCGTTTCTTGACGATTAGATTGCTCCAGAACAAGGTCTTGACAACTTGATTTCAATTTTCAGCTGTTGCAGATTGGAATCAGCTCCCTCTCTCTCCCCCTTTCCTGGTTGCTGTCCGTTAAATGCCCATCGATTTCATTCCAGCTTTGAACTGCCGATTACCACTTTCAGATGAAGGGTTTTTTTTTTGCTTAAAAGCTGGCTGGATAATTCCACCGTGTCAATTTGGCTTGGTCGCTCTCTGTAAGTGGGTCCCGGTCATCGATCGATCGCAGGTGCGGATTTGTCGGTGTGGCATACGTGGGCACGGCACATAGACCTACACTGTTTGGCCGGTTGCGTGGATGCACGAGGGCCTGCTGATACATGTAAGGCATCGCTGGCGTACTCAAATCAAAAACAGTTCACCAGTGACGAGCCGGCGTCAGTTGTTTCCACTCGTGCCGAGAGACCGGTCGGACGAATATCGCCTGCACGCGCTGCCGGGCTCGCGCGTGTAATAACGGCGCTCCGCGGGGAGTGCGCAGCGCCCAGGTCCCTTCAGCTCGCCAGAAACCGCTAGTATTTTTGTTTTCGTCTCTGACTGTTTTTTTTTCATCTTCCAGCTGCGCTATCTTCCAGATCAGGGACAGGCGTGATATCATCATAACGCTTCGCAGCCGGCACCTGGCCCACAAGTCGCATCATCCCGGACATCGGGCTCTCTTCCGAGACGAAAACTGTTTTGCCGAAAGGAGCCAGTTTTATCAACCCATCTCTTCCTGTTAATGCAGTGTCATCAACGGATTGTTGATTCTGACGCCAAGTTTCACTCTCTTGACGAATTTACAATTTCACTTGGGACAGCAGTGGTGGTCATTCAACAGAGGTGAGCTTGAGCTGCTTTTGTTTCTCAGTTCGAAAAGTAATTTATTCGGCAGAGCAAAGGGATGCTATACTGCGTAGTGTCTTCGTCATTTTGAGCGGGATATGGTGATGCGAAAATAACAATCAAAACGGGCTTGAGCGCGGTCAACGTTTATTTATTTAAGTTTCACCCAGGAACTTGAGATGATATTTGATAACTAGGGGATCTTTTGGTACGACTATTAATCTTTCGCTTTTGCACATGCACGCCATTTGTGGGGTCACACGCGTTAGTAGGAATCTCTTTTTTTGGTCTACTTAGGAGTACCTTTGCGCACCACTGGTGTCTCGGCCAATGCTCTCGTCAGTCGGTTGTAGTGTTCACTAAATCAAAAAGAGTCCATTTTTTATTAAGGCCACGACTTTTGGACGACAGTTCAATTTCCATTTAAATAGATCTGTGCCGGAAATCGTGGGGGGGTGGAAAAAGATGGGGGCTGGCTTGACCGGCCATGAAAATTTGAAAAGTGGGGGAGGGGATGACAGCATATATAAAGGTCTATGTTCATGATATTGATGTACATTTGTAATATTTATTCAGAATGGCATATTTATAGCTTTTAAAAATTGTTATCCCTTTCATGAGTGATGTTGAACGCATTTCAGTCGTTGAAAATCTGACAAATTCTTGACAATCCACTTTAATTTTTTGCTCACCGCAAAAAAATGGGAGGATGATTCAGCAGCCCACCCCCTCAAATGTGTGTCGGGCGATATATACTCCTTATCTCCATGAGGATTTACGTCCCGATGAACAAACCTTCCTCTCTTTCTCTGAAAATCTCATCGTAGGCTCTTTCCGGCTGTTCACGCATGTACGGCCACAACAAGCTTTTGTAAGGTGTTTAGATTGCAAAACAGTTTTGAAAAAAAAAAACTACCCTTGACTACATCCGAACATTTTCAAGTGGACTTGGACTTATGCCAGTATGCTTTGTGAAGGACCTATCTCGACTTTGTTCAGGGGGTTTGGATTTATGTTTTAACGAATCCTTTACTGCCGGAGCGCAGAGCCCTCGAAGCCTTGGAGACGTAATGGAATTCTCTTCACGCTGGCGTTGAACGAGTCACTCCAGGTTCCGTGAGCGCTGCGACAAGACTATGGCACAGCGAGTGTTTATTTAGATCCAATCGAATGGTCGCACGGTGCTACACCGATGACACGGTGTACTGAAAAGGACCTATCTTGCCACGGCAAAGAAAGTGTGGACTTAAGTGGATTTAGCGGTGGAAGTTCTTTTTATCTCAATGGGATGGGAGACTTAAGCACGAACCAACTTTTTTTTTTCTTTCTGAATGGACTGCTCAGTGTAGAAAGGAGACCCTTGTCGCGCTCGGTGTTCTTGGAGGGAATGGATTAGGCCTACTATGTTTGTAGTCGTTTGAAGGACTTCATGTCCGTCACTTCCCACACATTTTTGAAGTCATCGTTTTCCCTGCAACATAACTGCTCAGATCCTCCTGAATTTGCCTTTTATGAAAAGGCAAATTCAAATCCGAACTAACTTACCTTATTATGACCAAAAAAGATGCATGTTTTGCCTCTGTCTTAATTTACTTTACTCGTGTATCTTGGAAGTGGAACGTCGAAATTTTGCTCCAGTTCATCTTCCAGTCTGTCTTGATTCAAGAATCAATATATTATGGTTTACTAGGTAATCAGAATCACTGACACGTATTTACATTGATGTTGGCTTAATCTAAGGAATGGGTTTATTCTATAAAGATCAAGGTTGTGTTTATCGTTCCCCAAAGATTGAGGAAGTGTGCCGCAAAATCCAAAATTAATCAGTTGGTAACTGTTGTAGAAGACCCTTCATTCTTTATGGTTTGACGCTTTGCATGGTGTTCACAACAGGTGTACAGGACTAAATTGATTAGTCGTTAGAGAGGAACGAGGAAATTAGAAGAAAAAGATTAAAACTCAAACAGATGCCAGACTGAATGTCATCTTACCCGTCTGCTGAAGGGCAAAGTACGTTGCTCGAAACTTCGAAACTCGTATCAGTCTGCTTTCCTTGTTTACCTTTCATTAACGGGTGTGATGATAATGCTCCCTGCCGTGGAGAGACCGGGACAAATCGACACCCGTCGTTGTGCAGCTCAACGACCATCCAGTCCAAGGGATTTCAAGTTGGCTTTTTATCCGCGCACTCAGCGTCATAATCCATAACATTGTAGTTGTCGCAAATGCATAAGCTTTTCTGCTGTCTGAGCTCAAACTGGAGTGAACCAGTTGCTTAAACTAAGTAACAAATTTGAAATATGAACTCCATTATAATTGTGTTTTTGTCCTCCAGTTTAAGGTTCAGGTGGATTACAAATGTTGACCTCTTCGCCCCAAAGGCCGTCCACTGGTAGGGTGCTAACCTTTACGCCCGATTACATAATCTCTGATCAGTCAAAAGGCATAACTTGCTGATGGCTTGATGCACTTGTGAGCGATCATCTGTAGGCCTACAGCGTATCCATTAGTAATGTGCTGTGGCGTAATTATTGATGTGGTCTCGAACTCTACCATTGCAGGGCTGAAAATAAACAGTTACCAAACTCCGAACTCTTCAAGGGAGGCAGAAAATGCTGTTAAATCTAATTGCGCTAACCCTCTTTTTTGAACGAGTAAACTCTAGCAAAGAACAAAGGTAGAAACCCGGACGTGACATACGCGTCCATCTGTGTGGTTTCTTCGCTTTGGAAGATCTTCGATCTCAGACAAGAAAATCAGGTGAATTGTACGAACGTAGGCCTATATAATTCAGTGATGGATAACTTTTTCAAACTCCATACCTTTTTGTTGTACCGCAACAGCATATTTTAAGGGAACTAGGGAAACTGTACTGGGTTTATTTACCACATATTTGGCCTCAGTAGGAGAGAGTGGGATGTCACGTTCAGTTTTAGTGTTTTTTGAGGCAAGAAACAGGGCCCCCTCCCTGTCTCCGTCATCCGAGTCTTAGCTCACCGCCTCACCTACGCCAATGCGTCTTATTCCCTCATTTTGACGTTAATAACGAACACCAAAATTTTGACTCTTATGATCACCACGACAGAGCCTGATGGAGCTCGTATAGGCGATGTTTATCCCGCGTTAACCGCTCTTGACTTGGCAGGGCAAACTCCGCAGTCCATCCAACAAAATGGCCTTACTCCAGGAGCGATACCTTAATCTCATAACCGTCAACAGTCTTCGTGTTTTATAACGAAGAGTGTAATGTCATCTCCCGAGCGACGGGGACGGCTGTTGGGCACGTTTCTCGCGCCCGATTATCCAGTACGCGGAGCGACATGTGTCAGACGGCGCTAACAGGGCAAACAGTGAAGGGCGAAGCGCGGATTATTGTTTTAAGGGCATGTCGTGGTCGGGGGCGGGTTCTTTTAAGGGAGAAAGAGGGACTTAGAGCGGTCGTTTCATGGGTGGTATAGCTGCTTGATGAAAATTGGATAACCCAAAGATCGAATCGCAGGCATTTTGGAAAGTCGTTCTTCGTAGACAATCAAGTCGAGGTTTGGGCAACGAGACCACTGCTTTAAGGTTTACTTGCTTCTGTTGCCGCTTCTACGGGGATAACTTTAGACACCAAACTTTAAAGATGACCCAAGAATGCAACGGTAACATTCAAGCAGTTATAATGGCAATGTTTAATAGCAATCATGGGAAATATAATGACTGTTAAGATGAAGAAAAGGGGCTTATTCATTTTAAGACCAACTGGTGCACTGTGACTTATTAAATGTAAACACATCCAAAGGTTCCTCGTCGTCCGTATAGTGTGATCGAGACGTCTCGACAAGTGTTGTTTAAATCAAATTAAAAAGAAACCATGTTTTTAACGGTGTTTAGAACTGTTGGTAATGTAAAACTTGCAACGAGTTCATAAGATTATCGTGTATTTCCTTTGCTTTAATTGGAGCTTTACAAACCAGAACACACTCAAATCTAGGCGGTGTATTTGTGGTTGCTTTACGGGTTGTGGGGATGCCAAAGTTTGACAATTGGGGCGGGAATCAAAGAGCCGTAAAATCAGGCACATTTGTCCAAGAGTAAATGGGACTGGAATTGTCCGGGTCGTATTAAGATAAATGACATCTGGATACCAGAACACCTGCAAAAGGCCACCCGTCTTTGCCGACCACCGATCAATTAATCAATATCAGGTGATCAGATCCAACAGTCGAACATAAACAGGCTTTTGTCCGCCTCCCCCAAATCTAACCCCCGCCTCTAGGCTCTCGCTAACGCAGCCCTTGCAGTTTTGTTTCCTCTCACAAAGATGGACCGCCCGGTGCTTTTGTACCTAAACGGTGGGCACTTTAGGGAATCATCTACCGGACCCATTAGGGTGCATACAACCCCCCCCCTTCAATGGCACGTCTTCTCTTTTCTTGGACCGGACAATAGTTATCTGCGAAATGGAGACCCCCACTTGCCAAAAACCGTTTCCTTTATTTTCTCCCACTCTCACAATCTATTTGCCTTTTACTCACTGCCCATTAAAGTGTAGTTGGCAGAGGCCGGTAGAGTTAATGCATGCCCTATTTTATCATCTGAGGTTGTTTGTGTTTATGGCAGGCCAACTTCGTGGCTCTCTCTCCAGGCTACAAGCGAGAAAGCTTTCCGGGGTTTTGTTGTGTAAGCAACATCGTTCTACAGTCTTCCAAAATAAATTGCCCTCGAGCTGTCTAATCCCCCTTGCGCATTTTGCTATAGGTTCTAAGCACGAACTTCTCTTAGAGCTTAAGTGCCTGCACACTGGTAGCCACATCAGATTCAGAACTTTTTCGAACCGTTTAAACAGTAAATCTTCAGGGAAGTCAGTGAATTGCAAATCAGTGCCCGTCCGAATGAATATAAATTAAACGACGAAAGCGAACTCATTCCGTTTTGTTCTCGATATTTTTTTTACACTCGAGCAGTCAATATGCATCCAGCATTTTCTTGGTATCCTTTACCATTATTTCATA